TTTTCCATGCTGTAAACTATGGATTTCTAAAAGAAACTCATTTTTAAGTGTGATATCCTATAAGGTTAACCCTGACCCTAACCCTTTATCCGTGTGGTATGGCCAACCTGTCTACCTTGTTTCCTTTGGATACATTTGTATTTTTATTTTTAAGAGTTGTCTTAGTTCTTTAGTAGAATAAGTTACATATTAAATCAGTGTCTCATTTTGGCTGCTAGTGGGAGAAACCTCAAAATTAATAATGCTAATGTATCCAAACTTAATATCCAGAGTTTCTTCATTCAGCAAACATTGGACCATCTGGTGTGACCTAGCTACTGTACTAGACTCAAATGTAGAGATGGAGGCTTTGGTTTCTTTCTGCCTCAAGACAGCGGGCCAGGTCAGCACGCAGATAATCCCTAGCTGCATGGGCAAGCTCACTGAGGCTCAGGCTTGCCTGTGGGGAGGAGACCCGGTGAGGCTGAGGACTCCCAACACTCCCCAGAAGTGGTAAGCAGAGCAAGACCAAAGAGTGAGAGTGATGGCGTGCCGGGGGGCTGAGCTGGGGCAGGCTGAGTGTAGGGAGCAAGCCACTGTGGCAGAAGGCCTTGTGCTTGGTAGGGAGAAAGAAACAAATGTCAGGCCTTTTCTTTAAGTGCTTTGAGTTGGGGATGTCCCACAAATACTGGAAGGAGTGCCAAATCATACTGAATCCAGAGGCACATGAACCTTGAAGACATCAGTGGCTGTAAGTTCTGAGGCGCATCCGCTGGGTAATCTGTACAAAGACATTCCTGCCCTCCACAGTCAAAATTCTTTGTTTTTTTGTTGGAGACAGGGTCTTGCTTTGTAGTCCACGCTGGCCTTGAACTTACTTTGTAATCCAAGCTGGCCTTGAACTTGCAGTGACTCTCCTGCCTCAGCCTACTGAGTGCTGGGATTACAGGCGTGCACTAGCACATCTGGCTCAGAGACTGAATTTCTAAGTAAACATAAAGGCTAAGCTGTGTGTCTCTGACTGCATGGATTCAGTGCGGGGAGCTCTTGGCACTGACGATAAGGGCAGGGAACGTCTTTCCCTGACTAAGAGGAGAATCTCCTGCCTGAACCCAGGCCAGTCACCTTCTCTCCCTTCGGGCCTGTGTCCCTTCCGGCCTGTGTCCCTTCCCATGGCTTCCAGAAGACTGGGTCCCAGGACAAGGCAAGCCTTTGGCATCTGTTAATGACCTGGAGTCTGACCCTGCTGTGCTGGCTTTCAAGGGCATCGAGGCTACAGGGAAGAGCCCAGAATCACAGTGTGTGAACACTTCCCTGGGAGAAGATAGGGGCTTAGATGGGGGTGGCTGCATTCGAGAAACAGGGAGGAGCAGGAGCACCTCCCAGAGTGGTGTTGTGAGAGCTGGGTGGGAGAAAGCTGAGCAGGTACTGGGGTGAGGCCTGACGAGGGAGAGAGGGTTACCCTGTGAGCTGAGGGAGAGCAGTGTGAGTGGGAAAAGCCTGCCTCATGCGTGATTCCACTTGGGTGAAGTTCAAGTAAAGGAAAACCGATCCGTGACAGCAGAAGTCAAAGTAATGGTTACTTGGGTGGATCTGTTCTGGGAAAGACGTAGGCAGGGTGCCCCTTCCTGGCTGTGCCATCGCCTTACCAGGGGGTGGCCTTACCAGGGGGTGGCCTTGTGGTCATACGGATAAGCCTGGCTCTTGTGTGGAGATGCGCTGTGGTGTAGGCCATGCAGGCCGGGAAGAGAGCAGGAAGGGGTTGAAGGAGAGGAGAGAGGGTGTGTCGGGAGTGCTTCACTTACCGAAAGCGTAGCCCATGGGACTTCTGAAAATGACAGAGCAGGGTATCTGTTCTCCTGGGGCTAATTTACTGATGAATTTGAAGTTTCCCCTCTGCTGTATCGCTATACTTACTGTAGTTGTAGAAGCCAGCAGTTTTCTAACTGAAGAAAAAAGAAACCTTGAGAACAATTTGAATTGTAAGTATTCAGCTGTAGGAGAATAACTGCCAAAGGGATCTCGCTGTGTTTTCAAATCATCATGACCATATATCCAGTGCTGTCTCACGTGGAGCTGGAGTGATGTTTCCGATATGTTCCAAGGGGGTAGAAACTTCAGTAGAAGCTTTAAAAACACAGATTTTGACCTGACCCAAGAATTGTCCGGATGTTTTCCCTGCGAGCCCACGCTAGTGTCCTCCATGACCTGCGCTGCGCTGAGTTCTAGGCTAGAGGTGAAGGGGTGAGAATATAAATAAGATGGAAAGGGCTCCTCAGGAAGCCTTTTGCTGGGGGGCCCAGAGTGTGAGCCAGTTTTCTGGGCAGTGGGGCCCAGCAGTTACTGAGGATGTACAGGGATCACAAGGGTGCACCTGAGAGGAGAGTGTGACTGGGAAGACTAGGAGTCTTTAACGGGTTGTCGAACAGCGTTGCTCGAGGAAAAACAGTTTGTGTGCATTTGACTAAGGGTTGAGGAGGAGAGGAGGATGGGTGTGCTGGGCAGGTGCTGGACGCAGGAGCTGGAGGTGGGATGGCACCGTGAGCAGCAGGGAAGGGGACCTGCAGTGATGTGTGTCAGGGTCTCAGCAGAGGGTAAATTTGGGAGGTGCGCGGGAGGAGGTGAGTGGGGGCATGGTGGCATGTGCCCAACGTCACGTGGTGCCAGTATGGAAGCCTTGCAGCCCTCTGAACCCTGCAGCGCTGTGTGCTTCCTGTGTAAACAGAGGCATTGTGGTTTGGTGCTGAGTTCAGGTCCTAGCTCTGTCTCCTATGTGATGATAGAAAGGCCTTAACCTTCCTGCAGATGTCCTCTAAGAGATGAGGATAAATCAGACTGCTCCAAGTGTCTGAAAGATCACATGATGGGCAGGATTTCCCTTGCTGCCTGGCAGAGGCGGCCATCAAATACAGGGCAGCTGCTGCTGCTGCCTTTACAAGCCACTGCAGTTGGGCAGATGCCAGGGGTAGACTGGGGACGTGAGGGACTCAGCCTAGCCAGGGAAGCTTGTTTTGTAGCCCTGAGGGGGACAACACCCAGGCCTGGCAAGCCCTTCCTAGTGGGGAGGACTGGGGACCTCAGAATCCTCCTCCAAAGTGTCCATCTTAAGTGATCTGGAGTCGTGAGAGCCTCATGGGACAGAAGGTTGTGCCAGCAGGGCTGCAGGGGGAGGCCCAGGGAGCTATCCCCGACAGCGTGCTCTGTCTTTCTTCCTGCCAGGCCTGCAGATCTGCTATATTTGGAAATGATTAAGGTCCTTACATTGGGCTCCTTGATGCCTTTGGCTGTTTTCAGGTTGAGTTCAGTGGTCCTGCACTGAGATGCCGGCAGACATGGGAGGGCTGAAGCATGGAGGCGGCGGGGCCCTGTCCATCCTGTGCCATTGCTGGCCGCGGGTGAGGGTGAAGAGCGGGAAGCCTTTTCCCCTCAAGCAGAGGACCCTCAGTGTAAGCAGAGTGCTGACAGCGTCCCTCTTGCTTCCCCCACTTCTTTGCCTTTAGTTGCAGAACTACTAATTCCTCTTAATTCTGAAACAGTTTTAGGGCTCTTTGCCGGCACCCTTTTATTCCAGGATGCCTGACTGAGTACCTCACGCTCTTAGGGGACTTACTAGACAGCACAAGTTACACACTAACCCTGTGTAGATTGGACACACATCTTGGGAAGGAGTGCTTTCCCCATTGTTTTAGCCCTTGGCTTTTTGCATTGACTCCGTCCCAGTGGAATCAGTGATGTTACACAGAGTGAGAAGACAATATACATTGTAAACCTGTTGTCCTGTCGCAGGCCTCCTCCCTCTAATCTCACTGCTTTTTTTGAAGCTGGGGCTTGAACTCAGGGCCTCGCACGTGCTGAGCATGCACTCTACCACACACTGCCCGCCAGCCGTTTCTTTTTGTAACAAACAAGTGGGCCAGTGTATACTTTTTGGTTCTCTCCTGCGGTCACGTGTAGGTCACTGGTCAGGAGCTCCAGATGTCACTGGGGTGGCTTGCTCTTCACTGCTCTACCATTCTTGGCTGGACACTCTGTCCGTCTTCCTGGGCTGCCCTCCTGACGTGCTGCTGTCAGAGGGTTAGATCCCGACTCGCGGGCACCAGTCCCTGCCCTCAGCTTCTCCAGAGGCTGGCTCTCCTCGCTGTGCCTTCCTAGTGCTTCTCTCAATTCTGTCTGTGCCCTTGTGTTGCTCGGCCCTTTCTGCATACATCCAGGCGCTTTCCTTTGAAACGAATGTCATCACACAAAGCCCTTTACCCAGAATGCCACTGGTTTGTCCTGTGTTGTACTGTCTCACTTGCCTGTAGATGTTGTGGTCATTTCTCAGCGTCCAGCGGTACAAGACTCACGGTGGCTGCAGTGCCGGACTAGAAGGAGATGTGTGCCATGGCCTCCTGGTAAAGCTCTGGCAAGACACTTGGGACTTTCCATAGGACAAAATGTCGCACTTAGATTATCTCAAGTTTCATTGTGCTCTAGAATGTCTTCAGCTTTTCCCACTGTTTTAGCACTTGGGCTTGTGCACGGATTCAGTGCACAAGGAATCAGTGATCTTCTATGGAGTGAGAGAATATACGTCTAAACCTTTTGTCCAGAAAGCCCCATCTGCTGCTTAGGATGCAGATCCTGCTAGTGGGAAAAGATTCTTTTAAAGGAAAGTGGGCAGAGAAAGTGTACGTGTGTGTCACATGTACATCGCAGCACTACCCGTAGTGTTGTGGAATAAACACTTAGTGTGCACAATAAAATCTGTGTGGTTGAAACATTCTAGAGTAAAATTTGCTTATGCTGTAGTATTAATAAATGAAAAAAATAATGAACTTCTGTTCCAGAGACTGCCATGCAGATTTTTTTTTACGTTTCCCATTTGAGAGCCTTTAATTACTAATAACACGTTTGTTTTTCTGGAAAGAAACTTTAGGACATAGCCAGGTAAGGTCTTAGCACCTCATGACGAGGACACTGCTGTGCCACATTTTGTTCCTTGGTAATGTAACTTCTTTGTCTTTTCTCTCTTCTTGTAGTCAGAAAATGGGTAAGAAGAGTCGAGTAAAAACTCAGAAATCCGGCACTGGGGCTACAGCCAGTGTGTCTCCGAAGGAGATCCTGAACCTGACCAGTGAACTGCTGCAGAGTAAGTGCTGCGCACTGTCCCCGCTGCACGTGTCCTGTGGGCGTGGCTCCTCTGGAAGGGCGCAGTGTTCCGCTCCTGGCTGTGGGCCATGTGACCTGGCACTTGCCACCCCCTCTGTACCTGTGGGGACATGTGACTGTTACACGTGGGGCTTCTGTGGCCCAGCCAGCAGGGAGGGGTCCTTTCGGGTACTGGGGCCGTGGGCAGGCTCCGTTATTTGGCAGTGTGGGCTCGAACCCCTCTGAGCTTCTGTGCTCCTGTCAGTCAACACAGATGACTTTTTAGGAGTGTGGCCGAAGCAAGACGAGGGAGCTTGTGAACTCTGCGTTCGAAAACGGCAGCAGCCTGCCTCTCGTGGAGCAGCCTTCCTGGCAGCTCGCCTTATGCCCAGTGATTATGTAACAGCAATCTGATTTCACATGCTGACGTTCTAGGCTCTTGCTTCAAGGAAACGAAGTAGCTTAAGTGCCCATGCTTGCTTTAGTGAGTTAGTGTAAGTTGGTAACTTTTTAAAATTGTGAATTTAAATTGGTGCTGTTTAACTGAGATCACTCCATTAACCTTTCCCCCCTGTGTTTACCTCATGTGACCGCTGAACCTCCAGTAGAAGTTCAGCTTTTCCTCGCTGGCTGAAAGCAGGCAGCAGCCAGGTCGGGGTCAGGTTGTCCTGTGACCCCTGTGGCCCCCAGAGCCAGCTGTCTTTACCACCCGTCGGCTGCCTCAGGCCTGGAGGCAGCTGCCCAGCAGGGCCACCATCCGGGCCGGGGGGAGTGAAGTCAGACTGGTTCACCTGAAAGTTAGGGGTCAGCACAGAACCAGCTCGTGCTAATTATTTGCCACATCTTCTCTTCCCCCACAGGGCACAGGGAGGCAAGAGGTCCAGCAGGAGCGTGGGGAGGGAGGCCTCCCTCTTCACTCGGGTGTGGTCTTTACGAAGGAAGGGGCTGCGCACGGGCAGGGGCCCGGGGCCACACTCCAAAACAGCCAGCCCCGTCTGGGGTGCCGGTCCTTTGGTTCTGGTCCTGTGGTAGAGTCTTAGCTTCTTTCTTAGCAGCGTTGATGCCATTTCTTTTGGAGCTCCCCCGGATGCTTAGTGTAGTGCTGCACACATGGATGTGAAGTGTTTGTTGACTAGCTGTCCTGTGTCCAGATTAACTGGTTTCCTTAGAGAGCCATTCTTACGGTGCTTACCTAAAAAGGCTACCTTCTTTTTACCACCTAGAATTCTGGGGAAACCCTTCATTTTAGCACAGCTGTTTAGATTTTACTTGTTCACAAGTGTATTCTGAGGAAGAGCAGCAAGAACAGGCTGGGTAGGAGCTGGGCACTCCCACGGGCATGGGTGGCTGGGTCGCCGTTTAATGAGCGCGCTTGTAGGTTTCAGAGGGTTTATGTGTTTTGAAAAGTGTGTCTGCTTTATACCTGCACACTGCCTACTTACTGTCTGTGGCGGAGGTAACCCTGTCCTTTAAACGTGAGCCCAGGAAATCCAAACCCTCTTCCCTGTGCAGACTGGTACGTGAGGATGAGGGAGGAAGTCTCACGCCACAGCTCTTTTGTTACAGAATGCAGCAGTCCCGCACCCAGCCCGGGAAAAGAATGGGAAGAGTATGTGCAGATCCGGTCTCTGGTGGAGAAGATACGGAAAAAGCAAAAAGGTAAAATTGCTAGATAATTAGATGTTAATAAAGTCGTGTGGAAGCTTGGCGTGGGTGAGGGTTTTGAGAGTGGGGAAGGTCTCAGCTTGTTGGAGCCTGTCCGTAGAAAAGCTTCTGGACCAGGAGAGAGAGTGTCCGGGGAGACTGTTGGGGCCATGCCCATTTCTGAGACCAAAGAGTGAAAGTTTTAACTGTAGGGGAAAATGTTTGCGTGGGGTAGAGGCGCTGAACTTTATTTACTTATGTTTTGTGAAACATTTATTTAAATTTTGTTTTCATACTATGTTTCTTTAGCATTTCAGGACGGCACATAATACTGTCTGCGGCCAACACACAAATGTGTGCTGCTTGGCTGTGTCTTACCTTGTGTTTGCGATTAACTCCAACCTATCTTGATTAGCTCAGACGCGGGGTTATATTCCTTAAGGGTGTATTTCATGGCCGTCTCATGATTCTTAGCCAGGCTGGCAGCAGGGCCAAGCGTTGCTTTGAAAAGGCTCATTCAGTGTGCCCATTGTTTCTGTTCTCCAGAGTGTGGAAAGTGAGGCTTGGTATGCAGAGCCATGAGGACGGGAGAGGGAGAGAGCGCAGTGAGGAGTGCGCACTGGGAAGGCCGAGGAAGCCCTCGCTGACTCCCCTCTGACTGTCCTGCAGGGGAGGTGGAAGGGGTGTTTTTGTTTCTTACCTGACTTACAGATGTGTTGCTGTGTGTGCACATGTGCAGCCTCGTAGTCCTCAGCTTGGATGGCCTGGGGCTTCCAGGTGGTGGACAGGTTCCTTTCAGTGTTTATTTGCACTAGAATCCATTGTAGCCAGACTTTTTGCTTGCTGGACCCCCTTGAGAGAGGCAGAATCATTGTGGGCCACAGACAAAAGATGTAATATAGGTAACATGTATAAGTAACAGATTTTTATTTTGGTTTGGAGCATTTATTTTTCAAAAAAAGGCAAGCAGCCTGTGGGCTCAGGTTGGGCATGCATGTGCTAGGCTATAGACCACGGTAACCCTCTCTCCCCAGGTAGGCAGCCAAAAAATGTTTGTCTATTCCAACCTTCTCCTCCAAGTAGGCAGTATTTTCTAAGGCTGACACCAAAGTTCAAGCATTCATTAATTTCATGGAAGTAAGAGCAAACTCTGACTTAGTGTACACCTGGCTCAGTTCCTCTGTCTTCTTCAGTAGTGTCCCTGCGCGTCTGGTGTGGCGCAGCTGTGTGCCGGGCACTCCTCATGTTCATGAAGCGCCTGCTCCTCCCCTTTGAACCGTCAGAACATAGTGGGTTTTCCTGTGCGTGGCTGTCATCCTTTTTGAGTTTCAAACTGCTGAAAAGTCTGGAAGACAGTATGACACATACCTGAGCATCTCCTAGCCAGATTGAACACAAGCCAGAGTTATATTGGTTCATATTCTTCTTTCCTCCTTTCCGACCTACTCCTCTCCTCCTCCCCTCCCTCAGTCCTTTGGTTTCAGGGTTTGTTTCTTAGGAATGAGATGGTAAAGGTATGGCTGTAGCCACGGTTCCCTGTCTTCGCATCCCCTCCCCCTTGGGGAGTGTTCATCTTTGCTGTGAGTGCTTTCTCCTCCATGCATGACCTCATAACACTATGAAGACAGACGCAGCCGTGTGAGCGTGTGCTCGCAGTTTACCAACAGTGTCATACTTACTCGACTTGTTAGCGTGGTTTATGTGTTACGTTTTACTTACATGGATGACTGTAGGTCTGACCTGTTTAAACTGTTCTAAAGTATCCCGTCTTAGAACTCTGCAGTTTTATGCTCTTAGCGTCAGGGCTGTAGAGTTTCTTACCCTTCCCCAGGTCTCCAGTGCCTGTGTGTGAGCAGTGGCTCTTGGTTTTCAGTGGGGATTTTGTCAAGGCCAATGTGAATGTGAGACATGGCCTACTAGACTTCACAGGGAACGCTGCTCTATGGAGTAGTAGTGGTGGCAACAGGCATTTCTCCCCTTGCCGTCATGTTCGGTGTTCAGTAATAGTGCTCATGTTCAGTGTATCACCTAATAAGAACCAGGATGTACTTCTCGTAACTGACAGGGAGTATAGGGCTTTAATGCCGCTTCCCGGGAGCTTGTTGAGGCGTGTCCCGTGACTGGTGATTAGATTTGCGTATTTCAAGGTTGGAGTGCTAAGACTGGTCCCAGGGTGAGCGTGCTCTGCTTTTGCTTTCTGAGAGCCCTATGAATGACGTGTCCTAAAAGTAGCTCTCTTGTTTTCCAAACATGGATCATACAGGTCTGTCTGTTACTTTTGATGGAGAAAGAGAAGATTACTTTCCTGATCTAATGAAATGGGCTTCTGAAAATGGGGCCTCTGTCGAGGGCTTTGAAATGGTGAACTTCAAAGAAGAGGGCTTTGGTTTGCGAGCAACAAGAGACATCAAGGTGAGTTTATGCACGGTGGGGCTGGGGGTCTAAGCGTGCTTGAAATGTGCTGTGGTGCGGAGGGCTACGCCTGGGCCCTGTGGAGTGCCTTGGGGGCAAACCAGCAGGGCTTGCCCTGCCCAGCGTTGCCCACACCCCTGCCAGCTTGGCCTCCTGGGGAGCTGCATGTTAACTGGGCCTCCGACAGGGACCAGGACAAGCTGGCTCCCATTCTGAGCTCTGTGGGAGACCACAGAACTCGTCCCAGGGTGCTGAGAAAGACACGTGGGCTTTCTTGTCCGGGTGGGGTGGATGCCTGTGTTAAGGGTGCTCCCCAGGGTGCTGGGTAACTGAGTGCTGTGAGTGCCGCTCACTCAGCCTGCTGCACCGGACATGGAGTAGGCCTGTGCTGAGGGATGTGCTCTGTCCATCCTGGGCCTTCCTCCGGGGGAGGGAGCAGAGCGACGGACCCTCGCAGCCTTTCCCACCTCTCCCGCGGTGCCTCACTGCTGCTGCTCCCAAGGAGGAGAGCTCATCTGGGAGAAGGCAGTAGGTGGGAGTGGCTGCTCTGTGCCTTTCCCTGGAGGCTCAGGGGGCAGCCTCCAGGACCGGCGTTGCTGAGCTGGGGGGAAGCCTCTGTCTAGTCTGGGATGTAGGCGGTGACCACCTGTGGACTCCTGTTTGCCTTGTGTGGTTCAAAACTGAGGTGGAGGGAGTGGGTGTTGTTGGGGTCCCCTTCACCTCCAGTGTTTTTAGTGAAATGCAGTTAGCCTTCTGTTGGTACACTGCTACACCCTAAACCCGGCGCGGCTTGTTAAATAGCCCCTGTGGTAATGGCACTCCGTTTGTTACTATGCCAGAATTCTTCCTTCATGGTGCTTATAATCTGTAGTAAGTGACAAGACACATAGGAATGATTGAAACAGTAGACCTTGGCGAAGGCAGGATGTCACGTGTCCCTATCTGTTGTCAGGCCGAAGCCTCGTTAGGTTGCTGCCAGGGACATCTTAGTTATGGTTGGCTCACCGGTGCCTTCCCCTGGGGGTGCAGTGGCTTAAACAACATGTATTTCTTACCAATCTGGAGACAGGGAAGTGTAAGACTAAGGGGCCACTCCCCAGAAGGCCTTCTGGGTTTGCAGACAGCGGTCCTCGTGCTCCATCCCCACGTGGCCGTGAGCGGTGCGTGAAGGTGGGAGCGGTTAGATTCACGGAGAGCGTGCCAAGAGCACTCTCATATTGCCCGAGAAGCAAGGTGGCACTTGGGAGAAAGAGGCGTAAGCCACAGCGTGCCCTACGGGCTCATCCCTTTCAAATAGGTAGGTAGAGGGGTGTCGCTGTGGCTTCAGTGCCTCGCTAGCTGGAGCACTTCCCACTGACAGACGAGAGCTTCTGTTGGGGTAGGAATTGTTTTGCTTTGTTTTTAGAACTTAAAATATAGCAAAGAATACAGTGAACAGTCTTTGCGCTATACTCCAAGTGTTGCTAAACTTATAATGAAAGTTGAAAATACCTTTTTTATTATTTAGCTTCTCAGTATAGTTGTCCAGTATATACGGTTTTCTGTTTTTCCACTGGAAATAGAATTTTAAAGTATGTTTCTGCTAATATAATACGTTAAAATAAATGCTTACATTTTAAAACAGATCTGATAGTTAGAAAATATTTGCTGATAATGAAACCTTGAGCTGTATTTTGTCTGTGATTCAATTTCTGATTATGGGATGGGACTGAAGATTGTAATATGTTTTGATGATTCTACTGTTTTCTTTTTTTTTTTCTTCCTTTAGGCAGAAGAATTGTTTTTATGGGTTCCACGAAAATTACTAATGACTGTTGAATCTGCTAAAAATTCAGTATTGGGTGAGAATAATTTCTGAGTGTTTAAGGCAAAATATACACGATAGAAATACATAAAATTCTGTTTTTGGTGCTAAGTACTATATTTAGTTGTTTTCTCAACCGGTGAACTAGTCCCTCAAATGCACATTAAATACTTTCCATTTTATGTCTAAATAAAGATGCAGATGGCTTTACATGGTACAAGACCTTTTAATTTTTCCTACAATTTTAATGTATGCTTTGAGTGACTGCTTTTTAAAGAAGTCTGTGGCACTTACACTCCTAACTTCTGGGTTAATTCAGGGCCCTTATATTCTCAAGACCGAATTCTTCAAGCCATGGGAAATATCGCCCTGGCCTTTCATCTGCTGTGTGAGCGAGCCAGCCCCAATTCTTTCTGGCTGCCCTACATTCAGACCCTTCCCAGTGAATATGACACTCCTCTCTACTTTGAAGAAGAGGAAGTTCGGTGTCTGCAGTCAACACAAGCTATCCATGATGTCTTTAGCCAGTATAAAAACACAGCTCGACAGTATGCCTATTTCTATAAAGTTATCCAGGTGAGTGGGATGGGGCGGGAAGGGGAATAGATTGCATGTGTGCTCCATTTGACACCTTGTTAAGGATTGTTGAATGCTTTGCTTTTTAAATTAAAAGATTTCAAAACATTGAATAAATTAAAAGAAATTCAGTTACATGCCATCGTTTCCATTTTTACAGACATCACTGCAATACAGTTTTAAAAACGTGTATCCGGCTCTGTTAGTGTCCACATTTAAGACAAGCAGCAGATGTTTGTGGGCTACTAAAGTCACTAAGCTTTTTGAAAGCAAGAGGTTATAATGAATTTTTAACAGCTGTAAAGTATATCTAATGCAAAAAAGTGCTGTGAGTGTAAAGTTTCCAAGAAAATGAAAATCCACTTTTGTATTTCTCCTATGTGTGTTAGTGGGAAAATACTGAAAATTCAGTAAATTGTAGTAGTTTGTTTCTTAGAGTGTACTGTGTGTTTTCATTAATTTTGAGTAAAAGTCTCATAGGAAAATCTCTAGACGGTTGTGACCATTTGAATTACACATGACTATGCCTGCCTGCATCTTGGCGGTTCAGCCACCATCATCTTGCGTTTCTAGTTGTTCAGCAGATAGCAGGCTCAGGGCCTGGGCCCAGCCATCCCAGGGGGGGGGTGTCCTCACCTCTGCGCTCTCCCCTTCTCATGTTCGGGAATTGCCCCTGGGCTGCTGTGTCTGGTCCACACCAAGCCATGGCCACTGCTTGCCACCTTTCCCTGTTTTTGGGTAACTTGACAACTTGAATCAGGCTAATTGGGCTGTTCTTTAAAGGATCTGTCGCTACTGCGCTTTACTGCAAGAAGTGCAATCTCATTTCGTTACTTCAAGTAGTAGTTTTCCATTCATTATTTTAACTTCATAGCATGTTTACTGCACATGAATTTTATACTCAGTTATACTTGGAACATTACACTCCCAACCAACCGCTTCATATGTTTCAAAACTGATAACTCTTGTTCTCAAGTAGAAAGCACCTTGCTTTTCTAAACCTTAAACATGAAGAAGTCATTAGGAATGATCAGAGAGTATGTATATAGCTCTTAGTTTAGGTTTGATTCATTTAAAAGCTGTTGATAGAGCCAAGTCAAAACTTTCATCTTTGTGTATGAGCCACTGCAGTCCTGCAGTCTCAGTTCTGGTGTGTCTCTTAGTGACCTGAAAGGGTTGTGCTTTGTCTTAGTTCTCAGTGGTCTATCTTTAATGACTAAAAGCTGATGTAGCAGGTCTGCGTTTCTGTTATTTCCTATTGTTGGACAGCAGACTGAAAATTAGCTCTTCTCACTAATGTGTTTCTCAAGTCTGGGCTGTCATTAGCTGGTAATTGCTGGTAGCCTCCCCTGAGAGGAATCGGATCTGTTGTCAGGCTGGGAGTTCCAGATCAGAGACAAGTCTTCTTACAGCTGGCCTGGCATGAGTGATCTTTGGATGGTTCATTGCAGTCCCTGGTTTATTTTTTTATTTCAGTGTTAACCAAGTAGTGCAGTTTTGCCTCAAAATTTGATGAGATTTTCATAGCCACAGTATGAGTCACATACTGTGAAATATGAAAGTTAAAATATTGCTTCATATAGGTGGAACAGGTCTTTGTCAGTGTAAGAGCCAGTGGTCTTACCTCCCTGAAACAAACCTTTCCTAGCTGATGCTAGGATGACTGAGTTATTTCACATTCTGTGTAGTAAATAGTACCATTGGGTATATTTCAGGCCTTAGAGAACACTTGGAAAGTAACCTCTTACTTAAAGAGTTTTCCAAATGCAATAACATTTTCACATGACTCATAATTTATGTAACTTAAACATTATCTCTCTGAAAAATGAATAACCACTGGGACCTGATGGCACTTGCCTATAATCCCAGTACTTATGAGGCTGAGGCAAGAGGATCACTGCGAGTTCAAGGCCAGCCTGGGCTACAAAATGAGTTCAAGGCCAGCCTGAACTGCATAGTGAAACCCTGTCTAAAAAGACAAAAAAAAAAAAAAAAAAAAAGAATAACCATATTCTTTTTAATATATATGTTATGTGCTTTTATTAGTGCATATTAGTTTTACAAAATGCCAGGTTTCGTTCTGGTGTTTTCGTGCGTGCGGATAGCATTTTGATGATGCTCCTGTTCTCGTTACCCTTCCTCGCACCCTCTGCCCGTCTCCTCCCATTCCCTTTCTCTTGTCTAATTGCCCACCTCTTTCGAGCAGCCACATCCTCACAGCCTAAGTGGCTCCCACGTTTTAAAGCAGTGATTCCTCGCTATAGAAAAGTTGAAAATGTAACCAGTGGCTGTGGAACAGGGTATGTACAAGTAGAAAATCGCCAGCTAATTAGATCTTCGCTTTTTTGTACAATTAAGCCAATCTGAGGATTTGAAAAAAATTATGATTTAGAAATTGGACTGGATATTTTTCTGCTCAAGTACCAAACTGAGGAGAGTTAAGTGGGACTGGTCAGTGAGAAACTTCTTTGGTGCTCCTGGTCAGGGAGGCGGAGGGCCGTGACAGTGTCTGTAGACATTTTGATTGTTACCCTGGGGTGGGAGGTGTTACTGGGCTCTGCTCCAGGGACGATGCTCGCTTCCTGTGACGTGCAAGGCAGCCCTCACAGCGCAGACTTCCCCAGTGCGTCTGTCTGCGGAACAGAGCGCCTAGACACCTGCCCGACTTTGGAAATCGTCGTCACTCTCTTCTCAGCGGCCTGAGCCACAATGCTTGAGTTACTTTTCCTGTTCCATCAGGGGTCCGTCACAGCCCCTCGTGGGCTCTAGCTGCATGTGTGGCTAGGAGAGTGCAGTTGAGAGCACTTTTTTGCTTCTGTTTTAAAAACCAAAAATTACAAGGCTGGTTTTGGAGATGTTTGACCTAGCGAGGACATAAATACAGAGGAACAAACACTGAGGAATGTAAACCTAAGATGCAGGTTTCTCTTAACAGAGCCATGCCGGTCTGGAGTCAGCAGGCTTGTCCAGCCCCTTGGCCCTGCATGGGAACTGAGGAGTCTGGGGTGGGTGCGGTGGCTTCTTGGGTTAGCCGGGTCTTCCTGAGTACAGGCATCTGAGCGGTGGAGGGAGGAGCCTCGGTCTGAGCGTGGTGCCGGAAGAGTGGCAGCCAGTGGTGGGTGATCTGTCCCTGGAAGAGGCTGCGGTAGCCATGTGCGAAGGGCCTCGCAGTGAGACCAGCTGGAGTTGACATCCTGACCCATGGCTCATGTGGGAGTCGAATACAATTTGGAATAAATTGCTTCACTCTCTGAGTATGTTTCCTAATCTGTAAGAAAATACAAAATTCCATTTTTTCATGCATCTGAAAGATGTTGTCAGCCCAAGTTGGATTGTTGAGTAACGTGCCTCACACAGAGCCAGGCTCCCGTGGCCCGTGGCCGCAAGACTTGTTTCCTCTGGGAAGCTCAGAGGACGCGGTGGTCCAGCCGTCTCTTCCAGAGCAGTGTGAGAGCAGAGGGTTTCAGGAGCCGGCCTTCCAGGCTTGAGCTCATGCTGCACAGCTTGGCACTGTGACATCTGCCCTTGGTCATTTTTGAGGAGGCGTTGTGTGCTTAACCTTTTCCAGGGACTTGAAGACCCTGTCCCCAGATGAATACACGTGTGCTATATAGATCACAAACATCTGCCAAATGGTTGCAAGAGTATGGGAGGGTGAGCAAATTCTAGAACCGCATTTGTCGTTTTTAGTTGTTTTCTATTGAGAAGCATTTTCCTGGAGTCTGCACAAGCTCTTCGTCTGGACTGAAACCTGTTCTTCTTCCTCTCAGATTGCCGGCTCCATGTCTGCCGCTGTGGTTCCCGGTCCCTGGCTCCTGGTGCTGCCAGGGTGACGGGGAGCAGCGCCTGCTTCCACGCGCCCCTGCCAGTGTTGGTCTTTAGGTGGCTCTTTACGAGAGTAAATAGTCCATTCAGCCTTAGACCAGGCTTCAGACTTGAGGATTTTTATTCTAAAAGCACCGTTACTAACTTCTCCAGTAATTATAAATTCCTTCAGGTGGAGTTCTCTGTATTACTGTGTATTTCTCGCCGTTGTCTGAACACTTGAGTTTTCTGTGCTCTTCCCAGCATCTCTGTTGGTCAAGGGCCTTGAAGTGTGGGCACTTGTGTCAGTCAGGTTGCCTTCTGAGTTTAGTTCTCTTGATAGTTTGTTGAAAACGTCTTTCTGGGCCTATGCTCTTCCTCACCCGTGTAGTAGCTGCTTGGGCTATGTGGTCCTGAAGTGCTTCCAGGTTTCACGCCGGGCTCTTCTGAGATGCTCGGCATAGTCATCTGAAGCCTCGCCAGAGCCTCCCACCCTGGAATACTCTTCCCCTACCTGGTGCTAACGTGCAGCCCCTGTTGGTGGAATGCGGCATTGCAGCTTGGTAGGTGAGGAGTGTTCACAGTGGAACTCTGGGAGCTGGGGTAGAAGTTGTGGCTAGGCCAAATGCTGGAAAGGACTTGCATGGACTGAGAGCCCTCCATGGAGGTAAAACGCCAGGGAAGGAGAGGAGTAATGGAGGAAGGCAGAACCTGGCACTGCAACTCATGCAAAGCCCTGGGCCCGCGAGGACAGCCCTGACAGACGGGGGCACGTCCAGGGTCAGCTACACGTTAGGGTTTCAGCGTGGCAACGCAGGACCAATTTTGTGGTGGAGATCAGTGGAAAAGTAGGATTTGGCTGGAGCCCAGCTTTGCAATAGTATAACTGTGTGAAAGTGAAGCAAATCCTATCAGATTTTCATTGACTTAACACAGTGGAATGTGAGTCCAAGTTTTTTTCACCCTGGGTATGGTTTATATCTATCTATTCCCCCAAAGCCACGGACGCTCATAGGTGTGGCTTTTGGAAGGTGACTGGATGACGGGGGCACGATACTCATCAGTGGATTAGTCCACTGAGTGGTCTGGGGAGGTAAAGTCTGGTGGGAGGAGGTGGGTCCCAGGGGGTGTGGTCTGGAAGGGTCTGTCTCCCTCCCTCCCCCCTTGCTCTCTCTCTGCTTCCAGACAGCATGCCG